GATTGTCCTCTGACCTACAGAGGCACTCTGTGCTATACTCGTCAACACACACACACACACACACACACACACACACACACACGGCATAGCCACAACAAAAACCTGCAGTCTTTTATTTTTGTGTTTACTTCCGCAGGAAGTGTCAAGCATGTCATGAATTTTAAAAAGTCTGCCATTAAAACTGTCAGAATTAGACATTTCTGTGCTTTCTTCTAGGAAGACTCATGGAAGAGAATTCTCTACTATGTCAACTCAAGGGATAACTATCTTTATCTTGTAAACACGGTCTTGTAAACATATAAAGAAATCACATTTCTTTATCTGGCTAGAAAAATATTTAGTCAATGACAGCGCCAATGTAACTATTAACATAAAGTAGCCCAGTCACTCAAGGCTGCACGTGACACTGTAATTCTCACTTACCCTCACATGACATCCGTATTCACCCGAATACACTCAGTACATCAACTGTCCTTCTGAAGACCCACTGCAGGCCTTTGACCTTTCTCTTGTCTATACCCCTAAAGAATAAATTCTCCTTCAACATTTATATCAAATATGGTCCAAAGCATTAAGTGTCCCTGTGTATTATAATTACCCAGTCATTAGAAATAAATACCATGTCTAAAACAAGGCAACTTTTCATTTACAGAGCTGTAGTTTAGGGCAAAACTGACCCAGAAAAGTAAACAGACTTTTCATTATAAAAGTGCACATCCAGAAACTGGCATCTGAGGACCAGCCGGCTTTCAGTGCATTCGCAAGCACACACCTACAAAGTGACTTTTGTTAGGACGAGCGTTAAGTCAAATAGCCAGCAAGTGATGCCTGTGCACAGACCGGAGACAGACAACCACTGTAGAGAACAAACAGGAAAGCCAAAGGCCCAGTTCAACTTTCCCACCTCTCATGGAAGCAGTAACCCACCATATCTTGCTATTTTCTCATTTGCATCCTATCTATTTCAGCACAAATCATATTCCACATGATGGCTGAACAAATGCTTAAATCACTGTAGGTGTTTCCATGCTGAGAACTCAGCAGGTATGACAGTTTAGCTTGGAGACTCTTACTTTTATCTTCCTTGTCTACCTCCACTCCCTGAGTAACCTCCTCTCTGAGAGCCTTAAGTGTTGTTCCCTGAGGGACAGCATGGAGCATGCCATTCATTCTCCTCCTAACAATCATGTGACCTGAGCAGGAAAGCTAGATATGACACCTTCATTTTTACATTAGAAAGAACTAAGTTCGAATGTAATGTGACCTCTCCCGAAGTCTCCCAGGCACTAAGAGGGTGTCCTGGAGTCCACTGCACTGTAAACGATGCTGAGAATAACAGACTGGGGTGATTATTAGCATAACCTGGGGAGGAAACCCAGAAAGAAAATAGCAAGGATCTTCCTTCGCTGAGATCTGGATCACTAAGCCTGGGGTCTCTATGCAAACTGGCTTCATAGGAAGAAAGAACCTCCTATGACATACGGCTAACACCTTCAGATGAAAGGCTCGGAAGGAGCCTGCACTCCCTGAGAAACAAGAATCTTTGATTGAAAGAACTTTAATACCTGCTTATTCTAGAAAGTCATGCTGTGCTTCCATTCCTGCCTGTGTGCAGCAGCTCCCACCAGGGATGGGGAGCCTCGCTCTAGGTACAGTAGAAATGGGTACCATTTAGACTTTGTTTAGCTACCATGACCCAGGGATTTGTTTCTGAGCCGCCAGGTCAGCAGGAACCTACCGTTCCTCGCCATCTCTTCGGCGGCTCTGAAAGGCCAGCAAGACAAATGGCACTGATGGGACAATGAAGTTCAAGAGCCTTCACTAATCCCTCTAGGGATGCTCTGGACAGCTGTGGGAAGAAGGGTTGTAGCACCCAAAGGAGAAAATCAAGACTAATTACAGGAAAAGAACTTTCCCAATTTTCTCAATATGCCAAAGAGCCCTGTGTGGTGGCATAGTCCGGTAATATCTCAGTACTTTGGAGTCAGAGGCAGGAGGATGATGAGTTTGAGGCCAGTCTGGAGTACTGAGAGAAACCACAGGCTCAGAAAAAGAAGCGAAAGTAGAAGTGAACATAACCCTGTTTTCACAGGTACAGTATTTACAAAGGAATCTTAGCTCTGGAACCAAGCAGGAGCTCAGGAAAATTGCCACAGGAGGTGGAGCGCTCTGTGAGGGAAGAGAGGAAAGCTGTTACGGTATTTATAGACTTTTATCTGGTGAAATATAAATCCAGTACACCCAGTGGTGAACAAAACTTCAGATTGTAAAACCAGATGATGATACGCATCAGAGCAGTTCCTGTCATCCGCAGCTCCCAAACCGTGAGACGCTAAGGAAGGAGATCTTATCTTAGGCATAATAGTCTCACCCAGAGCTGTGCGTGCAGGGCGCACCAACAGCCTACAGAAACAGACTGCGGTAAGAATAGACGTGCTGAAGAAATGATCACGGGACTTCGCACCTAAACTTTAGGGAAGTACCTGTGAGCAGGGGCCCTCCAGGAAAAGGCACAGAGCCATTCTTCACCGGCATGGCTCACCTTTCCTTCACATTCGAACCCACGTACCGCTGCTGCCATGACCAACTTCAAACTATAATGCTTCATACAGAATTGAAAGGGGAAAATGAAGCAAATTCTTCTACATTAAAAAGTCACACGATGTTTTTAATTATTTCAAACACTGCTGGTCTAATCCCAAGTTCTGACTCACAACAATCACACCTGGAAACATGCGACCCACATGGTAACAGTATAAACCGGCAGACTCGATGTCACAGCCCTTTCATTTAGAGCTTCCTTCTCCATACACAGAAAAGTTTTTCAGCACAGAATATATCCAGAGAGATGCAAATAAGGACCACCTATCATGTGACATGAAAGGAGAGGGGGAAGGTGCTATTTGCTGGGGGAAAGGGAACCAACAGAAGAGGGCAGGGGAGGGCAGTGTGGAGGAGGACACAAACAAGGAAAGGACAAATAGGTATTAAAATGCCACATTGAAGCCAATTACTTTGTATCCTGACTGAAAATTAATTTAAAACAGAAAAGAAAAAGATTTTCCAAAGACTATCAACCCTAGAAGAATAAAGACTTTAATCTTCACAATCACACTAGTTCAGATCCTCAAAGTATTTAAAGGTCGTCTAATCCAAGTCTTGACCCAGAAGCATATGTCAATCACTAGAAACATGGGACGGAAGTCAAACTGGTAAGTGCCATAGAGAAACTAATGACCAGTGTACATAAAACCCCAGTAATTCTAGGTGCCTATAGCAGCCAGACCCCAGAGCCTGTTAGTTAGAAGGTTGAGTCATCAGCATTTATGAAGATCAATTAATGCTCTATATTTTTAGATGTCACATTTTTCATAAGGTTTACTATAATCCTCTTTTAAATATCCCCCTCATATAAATCAAGAAATTCAGAGATAAAGGGACTTAACGGAGGTTCTACTGCCAACAGACTCACAACTTGCCTCGCCCAACTTACAGTCTACAACAGCATTAAGTATTATGAGCGGCTGCTATTTGAATGAGTGTTTATTATGTGTCCAGCTCTAAGCAATTCATAGACATTTTTCCATTTGATCTGACTACTGGCACCTAAGGTCTCACTGTTTCCACTTTATAGACAACTATCCTAAAGTTAGGTCCTGAGTAACTTGTACGATCACCCAAGAGTAAGGGGAAAGTCAGGACTTAACTCACGAGCCATGTGACCTGCCTCAGTCCAAGGAGCACTTCCTTATCAGCCTCTTCTATTTACTGATCACACCATAACTGAAGAGAATCCAAAGGCTGGGCTGTGACAGTCATGGCTACCTTCCATCTTACCAGAGAACACCAGGCCCTGCCACTCCAGACCTGCTGGACATGAAACACTGCAAAAGCAGACTAACAAATTACTTTAGTTATTGTGTAAACCTTCTACAATAATGACAAATTTTAGATTATCTTGGGGTTTGCAGCAGTTTTAAATACACTAAGAAGTTTCTAAGACGCTCAGAAGTATACATTTATTCCACAGTGCTTAAATTGCGAGCTCTGCCCAATCGTTGATAAAGTAGGAAACATAACAGCCTATCTCCAGGGCTTCCGTATAGGATTTAAAGAAGGTCATGTATGATCTTAGCTTCAATGCGTATAATCACTCAAAACTGTTAAAATCATACAGCACTGCTACTGCCTTCTCATTTGGAATTGGACCCAAAAAGTGGAGAGGTCCTTTTAGGCTCACTGAGAATAACAGAATAGTCCAGGGAATAAATGCTAATTGTGGGAAAGTCTAACACAGGAAACAAGCTCCCTAAAGTTAGGGCAAAGCTGATACCTGATTTTCAAACAAAACAGATGCTCCTCCCACCTTTTCCTAAAATGAAATATATATATGTAGCATCTCTCAATTGAGGAAAGGTTTAAGAAAGAGCTGTGGGAATTAATTAATAGTAAAAGAGAAGGAACAGACACAAGCAGAGTCAAAAAGGGACTAGGAGAAACATGGTAACTCACTAAAAATAACTCCATTACAAAAATTAAGAGGAAGCGGTACTGAGGTGAAATGTCTAGTTAGCTCAGGATGGAAATTTCCGCTAACCAACTTGCCTGTTCAGAAGGTACCTCTCCCCTCTATGCCACTCCAAAGGAAGCAAGTAGGCTGAGCTAAACAGAGGGCACTAGACAGGACCCTTCCTCCCAGTCTCTGGCATCAGTATTCTAACAGACATGCTAAGCCACCCCAGGACTGGGACTTTTTAAGAGAAGCTGGAATCTGGCGAGTCTCTTAGCCAGGTATCTTTCACTGAACAAAAAAAAAACTAGGTTTCTGTTGTATGACGACACACCCAAATGTCTACTTACCCCAGATAGGGATCCTACAACAGACCAAAGTACAGATACCACCAAAGTCCTATGAACCACTGTGCTCCACTGGGGTTACTAACAGCAGGAGTATAGGTGAGGGGTTACTTACAGGGGCAGAAATTATCTGAATGACTCACCAAGGCCCACCCCAGCATAGATGACAGCTCACCAAGCTGGGAAACCTGAAGCATACTGCACAGCCTGCAGGCAAGCTTAACAGACTGGGATGTATCCTTTCCGAGCAACTGGTCTACTCTCAGAGGGATGTTTGTTCTGCTTCTCACAGCACAGCTTCTTCTGAGCCCAGCTGAGTCTTCTCTGCAGCTTTTATTTCTGACTCTGGCAGGGAGGGGCCGAGTGAATCTAGTCAGTTTCAGGAACTTCCGGGAGCAATTTTGAGCTGTTTACCTTCCTGCTTAAGGAGCTTCCCTGGAGGATGGAATGTTTGAATCTCAGACAGTTTCTTAAAAATATTTACCATACTTAAGGGTAATTGCTGAATGCCTAACTTAAGGGTACATTTAAGTGGCACACAGATCACAACCCCTACTCCCCATTACACACACACACACACACACACACACACACACACACACACTTGCACATAGTTTTCACATTGTACTTAAAAAAATCTTTAACTTTCCTCAAGGCAATATGTAAACAAATTCCTTAATTAAACAAAAAAATAAGAGGAAGTGTTTTCTAATGCTTTTGATTTTGAAGCAAGTTTCCCAATGCCATCAATATGTACTGTGGAGGAATCAGAAATCACTTCTGATAACTCTATCCTCCCAAAATCATCTTAAAATCCATATAAGTGGCTCCCACCCTCATGAGACGTGGCTCCATCAGAACTGGGGGAGCAGAACCAGGAAACATGTCTAATGTGATTCCTCAAGTTATGCTGTCTGGAGAAACCAACTGACTACCAATAGAGCACACTCTTAATTTCCTTTTTTCTAAATCAACCACGAGAAACAAAAACCATTAAGGAACTATCAGATTCTATTTTTATACCACTGTTCTTTGCATCATAACCCTAACTGTCCTTGCAACCCTGAACACATAAGATGATGTCCCATCACATCATGAATGTCCTGTCTTAGTTCACAAACTGTCGGACTGGTCTCAAGTAGCTTACAAATCTTATTAACAGTTTCTATTTTAACTAAAACAGAATGTAATCCTGGCAGAGAGTAGGTTTAGGGAGGGAGGGAAGGAGGGAGAAAGGAAGGAGGGAGGGAGGAAAAGTAAAAGCTTTTCCAGGGACTGTGAAGATAATCAGGTAAAACAGTGCTTTAAAGTCTGGACAGTCCTGGAGTGGGCTCAGCTCCATCACACACCACCCTCTCACCCTCATTTGGGTTGATGCAGAAACCAGGGCCTCCAGAGGCGAGGCAAACCTGTTTGTACTGGTTATTTTTCTCAGTGCTGTGACACTCTCTGGGGGGGAACAACTTAGGAGAAGGAGTTCACTGTGATGGGGAGGGCACGGCAGTAGCAGAGGTTAGCCCACGGCAGCAGGAGCATGAAGCGGTTTGTTTCTGGATGGGAAAGCTGAGAACAGGCCCCTAGGTGAGACGAGCCTAGGGCCGCCCCGCCAAGCTCTAGAGACACATGCCTAAGCTAGGCCTATCTCCCACCGGCTCCATGATCTTCTCTGACACAGCCACCTCAGCACTGATCAAGATCAAACAGTGAACCGGGGTCAGCACCAGGATTCAAGGCCGACCGATGTGAAAAAAACAAGCCAGGGACAGAAAAATAACATTCTTAATGATGTGTCATGACTGCAACCCCACGACGTAGCTTCTGTTATCTGTTTGAGTTGTTGTGTTTTTTTTTTTTTTTTTTTTTTTTTGGTCAGTGGTGAGATTTTTGTTGCGTTTAAAGTGACCGTATCCTTGTGTCTCTCCTCCAGCTGCAGAACGCTTGGCCGGGGACTACAGTTTGGGTCTGGAAAGCCTCCCAAACACCTACATTTTACAGAATCAATCCCAGCTTGGCACCACAGGAGGTGGGGCCCAGGGGAAGGTTCGAGGCTCTAAAGGGATTGTGGGATCAGGCCTCCTTCTCCTTTCTGTCTCTCACAGGAGGCACGAGGAGAATGAGCCATGTTTACCATGTGTCTTGCCGGTTAGTACTGCTTACCTCAAGCAGGGAACTGAAACCTCCCAGACTTTGTGCCAAAATAACTCTCTTTATAAATTGATTGCCGTATGTATTTTTTATAACACAAAGGTATTCAAGAGCAGACAAAGCACAGTCCCTATCCCTCAGGTGCACAATCTAATAAAAAGGTATGTCCGAGCAGCAGTGCTTCCAACCAGAGGGTCACCAGGAGATCTGCTGACGTATTACCCTCTGCAACGTGTACCCTCGTACTGGAAGCCAATCTACGCCTGACCTTGAGCAATCTTGCCAGCTTACTCAATATGTCTTGCTAGGATAAACTGCTTTCTCTCTGCTGTGAGGGGAAAGCTAGGAGCATTACGCTGGGGAGCAGAAATGGCCACACATGCAGAGGGACCCATCTGCCCTTCCACTAACACGTTCATCTGAAAAGAGAAAAAAAAGGGGGGCTTCCCTGGGTGACTACAGAAGCCCTGAGACCACTTCCAGCTCTTCAATTCGTAACAGCTGGAAAACAAAACAAAACTGACTTCTCAGTGTGGCACCCCCTCAGTGTGGCACCCCCTCAGTGTGGTACCCCCTCAGTGTGGTACCCTGAAAGTCAGCAAGCACAGAGCATGGAAATGAGCAAAGCCCCACGTCACACTAACCTGGAGGAACAAGTCAGCTCCTAAACGCAACTGACAATGTGAACTTTAACCTCTTTTTGTTTAAATTTTAAAATACAGTCATTTATTTATGGCGTGTGTGTGCACATGAAGAATCATCTCCTCAGAGGTCAACCGAGGGAAGCAGTTCTCGTCTTCTCCCATGTGGGTTCCAAGGATCAAATCTCAGATCGCTGGGCTTAGTGGCAAATACCTTGGCTTGTTAAACCGTCTCCCTAACCCTTCCCCTTTTTTGACCACTGGGGAAAGTTCATAAAATGGTGCTAGTGTTGTAGATTACGTGTAAGTTCCCACTGGCCCCCACCAAGCAAGCGCACATGCCGTCTGACACCTCCATGTCTCCTGTCCACCTTCAGCTGCAGTTGCTCCCTGTCTTTATACTCTGGGTGTGACACCAGGAGGAACGGTTCTCAAGGAACAGAGGAACCACACACGGGCAGTTGAGACACGAGGTGAAGCCAAGGGAGGGTGGAGGAGACACCTCTTGTTAAACAAAGATTTCCTTATTTACTCCTGCTGTTTAAATGGCTAGAACAAGAGCCTTGGTTTCATACTTCAAGTGTTCCCTTTAGGGTAAGCTTGATCCAAATACCAAATCCCTTTTGTGCTTACAGGGCAATGTTTGTACCCTGAAATGCGCATGTGTGGTTGTGTGTAACGGAGGAGCGAGGTTATCAAAATCCCTTCCATGGTGGGATCCATGGTGGGATTCAAAGAGTTGGCTCTTCTGAGAAAAAAAAAATTTCAAGTGAATCCCATTGCCACACCCCCATCTAGTCTCCTCTTTTCCACAATGGGCAAAAGAGGCTCCAGGTAGTCAATTTCCCACAGCTGACTTTTCCCTACCCTTCAGGTCTCAATACAAAACTCCTGGTTGAGAAGGATCTCCCAAGGTACGTGCCCGGCACCTGGGCCAGAAAACTACTGACCTGGTTTGTTGACTTCACAGCACTCACCAGTATCTGAGATGGTTGTATGAAAACAGTTCTTTCCTTGGTTATGGCTGCCACCCGCCCTTAGGACAAGGTGTGCCATGAAACCAAGCACCTTCTGTGTTGTTCTCAGCTGTATTCCCAACCCAGAGATCAGTGCTTGCCACGAGGATGTGTTCGACAGAATGTTTACAGAGTGAAGCACACACTTTGTGGTCTGCCTTAGACAGTGTTGATCCTGACCCTCAGTACAGAAATTCTGAGGTTGAATGGAGGTTTAAAATAAATCAAGATTCTAGACCCTGTCTTTGGATATCAACCATGATCATGAAAACATCAAATTTGCACTCAAGATTCTTGTTCTCATCACTAAACGTGGCGAAAGAAGAAACAGGGAATTCCTAGTTACCTCAAGGATTTGGCAGACCTCTCCAGTGCATACTTTAAATCACCAAAAGCCTATAAGTTTTGCAAAGGCATGGGGCTGTATTTTTCCTTCTTCCTCACACAGGCACCAGATCTTAAAAGAAGAAATGATGAATGGTCATAGACATAAACGTTCCAAGGCTAGTGAGAATCAAAGACGAACTACAGAACACTATTTGGGGGACAGACGCTGGTGTGTATGTAGCTCAGTTGACAGGTCCTAACCCTATCAATTTCAGACCTGTTTTATCAGTCAAGAATCATTCATAAAGTACTTATAAATTCAAACTTCACCAAATATTAATTTAAAAATCTGCTTTTAAAAAACATAAATAACTGACTTGAGACATACATTATATTTATGGTCATCTTAATGAAAGGATTGTCACTTCATTAGCAGTGAGAGAAAAAGAAACACTAAAGTCTTACAAATAATAAAATATATCATGCTTGAATTACAATTATCAATTTCCGAATAGGGACTTAGGATGGAGGAATCCACTAGAATTGACTGCAAAGTTTCTTATTCTGTGATAAGCATTCATAAGGACACAGTTTATAAACTGATCCTGCCTAGGGTTGCCAAATTTGGCACACACACATACATACACAAAAATCTCCAGTTAATTTGAATAATGGGTGAATTTATGGTAGATTAACATTGTAAGTATATCCTAAAGCAGATCATATTGGGTAGACTTACACTAAAAATTATTTTCTGTTATAAGTAAAAGCTTGTAAGTGTGGCTTTTTTTTTGTATACTGTACATTGCCTGGCAAGCTTAATGTTGTCTGACGGCTATGCTAAACTGCTAGAATATTCTAATATTTCAGCTGAATATTAGGACAGCAGATTCCCCGTCAGTGCCTTGAGTTGCCCTCAGACCAAAATCCAGCAATTCTCTGATGACAGATGGCAACAAATGTGACTAAGCAGACACCTCAACACAACATCCACAGTGTCCATGGAAACACATTCAAAACTGTCTGCCTACTTTCCTAAACTAATTTAGAATCATATAATCACAGAATTTTAGAATTGGAAACCTTCATAGATTCTTTTTTTTAAAAAAAAAATTATGTCACTTGCAAATGCAAAGAACTTTCCTATGACTGAAGTCAGCACGGGGGAAGGGACGGGTGTGCTCAGCACATTTAACTTCAGAGGAGCCAGACACCAGGCCTCTGCGGCTCC